TAGGAAAGCAGCAGGATTTGGAGGAGTCGGATGGAAGTTGTGGTTGCTGAAATGTGTGAGGAAAAGATTTTTTTTTTTTAGACCTAGTATCAGCCTCTTTAGTATGACTGATGTAGAAGTAATGAATTTTGTTCATTTAATCTAGCAGTAATTTGAGGCCTACTTGTAAACACCAAAAAAAAGATGTGTGTTATAGTCTATTGCTTGTTTTGGCAGAAGGCTATGTTTTTAGCTTCTGGGCCGCAAATGTCAATATTCTTTTCTAAAAGTTAGAATCTTGTGCATTCTGTTATAGATTAGTCTATAGAGAGTTTTGAAGGACTCTGCTTTAAACTAAAATACCCTTTTTAAGTTATCAGGTCATTGCTGTCTTTCTAATTCAGTTGTTTTAATATTTTTATATCCCTTCTGTTTTCAGAAGAGAGCCTTATTTCCCGATGGCTAATCTAGAGGCATGATATGCATTGTGCTGTGGCTTCTTTATGATGGATAACTGCTTTTAGGTGTTGCTAGCTCACAGGGAGCTTCTGTGTAAATCGCATGTTGACAGGAGGTATTTGATATTCATGACACAAAAATGTCTATTTAGCATTCATGGATGATAGTTGTTTGTGTGTTGCATAGATAGCAAAGTAAATAAAGACCTCTATGAGCCATAGCTGTAGACAGAAAGCAACTTAAAAATGTGTACAAGATCAATGAGATGAAATACTGAGTAACTTATTCAATGAGTTTATTCTTTTAACAGGTGAGGAGGAGACCTAGTTTTCTTTCCCTTTTTTGCCATGCCAGAATGGTCTGTACAGGTGGTCATTCATTGAAATTACCACTAAGTACCATTCCTTTGTGGTAGTAGCCTAGAATGAGTGGGCACACAGCTGGTTTGCGCTTCCCTTTTATTTTGTGCTGTGTCTCATAGAGCAGCTTATTGAGTGTAGCTTGATGAGACAAAGAGAAGTCTTTGTTGCTGTTCCTTCCATCTGTGTCCCTTCCCCGCCTCCCTCAAATTTTTTCCCATTTGAGTTACTTCTGATGGAACTTTCTGACCCCTATGCTCTTGAGGGGTCAAACCCCTGCTCTTAAATACTCACAGAAAGCCTATTAAGACTGCTCAAAACTTTTTGAAATTACTTGGTCAGAATTTATCCCTTTAGCAATTATTCACAAGTCCTCCAAGCTAGAAGAATCAAGGATTCAACAACCAGTTTTCTTCATGGAATGTGCTCTGTTGC